CCTCTCTCTCTCTCTCTCTCTCTCTCTCTCTCTCTCTCTCTCTCTCTTGTAGTTCCTTTTTGATGACATACTCAGATCAACACAATCCCAAATGTAATAGGTGACAAAACTGTATGGTATAACATAGCCCTGTGCAAGCGGCCGTAATATCAGGTTGTTTTGTTTTGCTTTGGGTTTTTTCTTTCTTTTTTCTTTTTGGTTAATTTGTTTGTTTTAAATGTTTATGTTTTTCCTTTATTTTTTTTTGGTTTGGTTTTGTTTTTGTTTTTTTGTGTTTTTTTGGGGGGGAGGGTTGGGGGGTTAAGTTTTTTTGTTTTTTTTGTTAGTGCATTCTAACTTTAGGCTCAGCTGGGTCCGACGTTGTGTCTTTGGAAAAGGTACTGAACACGAAATTTCCCCTATTCGGTTCCGTCCTATCGGAGATGGACGTTGAATTCGGAGGTCCTGCGTCTTAAGTAACCTTACAGTGTTGTAAGAGACATCCCCTTATCAAATTTCGAACAATTTTTTTTAAAATGCTGCTTTAGAAAAGGAAATTAGGAACATCAAATAGCATCGAAAACTCTTATTTAGTTCTAGAAGATAAAATTTAAAAACGAAACATTGAAATATGGAAGCCCCTTATTTGAGTCAAACATAAACTGGGAGAAAAAGACGTCGCAAAATTAAGAAGAAAACACGCTGAAGCGGCCCAGTACAGGATAGATTCTCTTTATACACGTGACGGGAAGACTATTTAGATTAGTTCTAATATGAGTTTTTCGGCACTTGCAACACAATGTAGGTCAAAATGTAAATGCCAAAAGTTAGAGGTATGACTAAAGAGTGAAAAGTAATGAAAAGAATAAGGAGATTAAGGGGGGGGGGGGAGCAATACCTGGAGGCTATCTCGCTATATAATTAGTAGTCCAAATTTTACCAAATTTCACACATATAACAAGCATGGTAAGAGCGATAAAGAAAATGAAAATATTGACTTTATGAAGAAACTGTGGTGGCAAACTTGCCCGGTAAGGGAAGAAAAAAGGCTTTTGGGGTTCTCATGCGCGATGAAATAGTTGTAGGAGAAGCTGAGGAACTTGAGCCGAATCGGGACTTTGAAGGTTACCCCCCCCCCCCCCCCCTTTTTTTTTTAAAAGGCGGATAGATGCTTCAAAGGCAGAAGGAGCAAACCACACCAGAGCACCCGCCAACCAAATACGGGAATACCCTTTATGTTTACAATAATACATGCATGTGCAACGTCTAGTTTCAGACTGATAAAGAACAAAATCTTTTATGGACAGTGCTGTGTGGAGAGACGAGTAACCGAAATCATTTTTATCAATTTAAACATGTATTATTATATCACCAGAAAGAAATCTTGAATATATTGAAATCAACCCTTTTCTCTTTAGCGAAAACTAAACAAGCCATATCACCGCATCTACTCATTCTGTGCGTAATACATCGTTCTTTTGGAGAAAACAAAACCAGTGTACTTTGTTGTTAGAGGACCTGCTCTTTTGTTTTGTTGGGGGTTTTTTAGGCCTACATTTAATTGTTTGAGTAAAAAGAGGCACATCGACACAATAAATATCATTTAGTGCTCGGAAAAAGTAAGACAGACAGGCAGAAATAACAGATGGACAGAAAAAAGTAGGACCTGCCAGTGGCGCCTTCCACCACTTGCGTGTTCTACGTACCACGGAGCATCTCATGTTTTAGAATCTTCTCCGCTCCAGTCAAAGATTAAACAGTATTATCTATGAGAACCTTTTCCAGCAAATTTTACATCCCTCGATAATTTATTGGGAAAACAAATACTCACATCACACCCACAAACACACATACATACATACATACATACACCCACGCGCTCACGAAGGCTCACACACACGCACACACACACACACACACACACACACACACACACACACACACAC